GGGCAAGGTTCCGCGACCATCGACGATCGAGCACTTTCGTGGCTTCAAAGTCAAGGCGTCAAGACTCTCTTCCTAAGTGGGGAAATTCAGCACCCTGTTCGACCATTGTTTCCGACTTATCAAATATCTGGCAGTACGCCGCCTGGGCCCCTCGTTATCTCGCTTGAAGCCATTAGCTCGTCGGCTCTGGATTTCTACAACGTTTATCGGCTATATGTCGACGAATACGATGCCTTTCTGTTTGGCGCCATCCCTGATTCAAGCAATTCAGGCTGGATCCCCACCAATATCACTCTCTTTGAAGAAGCAGTCGACTATATAAACGCCCCTCAACTCATTCCTGTCCCTTCGCGTCTGCACATGCTATCCAACCCCCACCTACCACTGGCCGGAACTCGTTTCGGGTTGAAAGACATCTACGACGCCCAAGGACTCCCAACAGCTGCAGGATCTCATGCCTACTCCCTAACCCATCCCATCCCGCACATGACTGCGCCCTCCGTCGAAATCCTGCTGGCCTTAGGAGCTGTCATGGTCGGCAAAACTCGAACCTCTCAATTCGCTCATGGTGCCCAACCTTGGGAGTTTATGGACGTACCGTACTCGTGGAATCCGCGCGGCGACGGGCATTTGACGGCTTCGGCATCGAGTTCGGGTAGTGCGTGCGCTATCGCCGGGTATTCTTGGTTGGAGTTTACAGTTGGGAGTGATACAAGAGGAAGTGTGAGGAAGCCGGCTGCCTTGGTTGGGGCGTATGGGCTGAGGCCGTCACATGGGAGTATGGACTTGAAGGGTGTCGTACCGCTGTCGGAAGAAATGGACACTGCTGGGTTCTTTGCGCGTCATCCTAGAATTTTTTATGAAGTGGCCTCCCATTGGTATGTCGTTTCTTTTCTCTAAAATCTAAAAACTGACAGATCAATATCTAGGTATGCTGATTCTCCAGTGGCTAGCAAGCGACCAACAACGAAATTCCCGGCAAATCTCCTCTACCCAATTGACCATTTTCCAGCCAAATCTCCAGCAGCTCAGAAACTCTTTGACGATTTTGTCCTGGCCCTGCAACACCATCTCAATATAACTCCAATACATATAAACTTCACCGAAACCCTCATTCCGTTCCTTCCAAACGGAAGCTTCCCCGATTTTCAGATGTCCTCAAACGAACTCGCGGAATATCGATCTTGGACGAGTGTAGGCAAGCCCGTCACCCAGGAGTTTATGGCTCGTTTCGGAATGGAGCCGGTGTTCGATCCTATTCCGCAAAAAATGTTTGCTCGTGCACAATCTATCTCCGACGATGATTTTGCGACGGCTGTTGCTCTCAAACGCGCTTTCGCCGACTCTGTCTCTCAACACATCTTCCAACACGACAACGAATCGTGTTCTACCTCCCTCTTCATGTACGACGCGGCCACTGGGGGACTGCCCTCCTACCGTGTTGAGGAGTTCAACCATCTCTCAGGCGCCGCTCCGTTTCTACTGACAGCAGCAGGCTCAGACGGTCAAGCAAAATCGTCGGATTTCTTTAATTTTCTGGCGTCGATGGGCGAGCTGCCTGAGGTGACGGTACCGATTGGCCAGGTAGATTATTTCAGCCACGTGAGCAGAAAGTGGGAGCACCTGCCGATTGCGGTTCAGCTTGTGACGCGCAAGGGGTGTGATGGGATGCTTCTGAATTTGGTGAAGAAGTTGGCGGAGGTGGGGGTTGTGGGCGAGGTGATGGTTGGACGATCTTTGTGGTAGATCTGAAATAATTCATAGTTAGGTATCATCGTCATTTCCCGATGTTTCGCAAGACGTTATCCTGAGACATGATGAATTGAAATTTAGCCGTTCCGCACTGTGCAAGGATGGAAGAAGTCGCAACCTGTCGGTCGCAACGCTGTTTTCGGCCGAACATCAGAACATTGTTTTTTTCGGACATCCGAAGACATACGTGCCCCGCCTTTTGTGAAGGAGCACATGAAGAACAAGACTTTATCCTTTGTTCACCCTTCCCATTATGACTTTCGGGTATTAGTATGTAATATCAACTGTGAGATCTAAGCGTGAGTAGTCTCTGCTATACAGAGTCAGCAGATGTCATCCCAGACTTGATGGAAAAACAAGGCAGTAAATGTAAGCCGCATTAGAGCCGGCATGTGCGGTAATGAATTCGTGCATAACGGTGGTTTGGACATCGTTATTTTCCCACCAAGGACCACTTCAGTCGCTAGCTCTACTATTTAGTTATTAACTTTGGTCTGAGTGGGGTGAAAATAATGGGTCGGAAACTGACAGTTCATAGCTTCCTTCACAGTATATCGCCGCTCCATTCCCCTATTGTTATAACAACCACAGACAGGGTACATACTTGTCTTTCCTGGAAATAAGAAGGGACATGCTCACAGCTTCGAGGTCCATGGACGCTTTGAGTCAGAACAAACAAACGTCCCAGATGGGAACTGGGAGACAATAGGTCCTCGGATGAACTAGCCGGGTATGGACTCATACGACAAACATGGACCTACAACCGGGCGGACACGTGGAAGCCCATGGACGAAAGGGGCAGTTTTATTCACTTTTGGTGTGGGCGAGCGGTTTTCTTTGTCCGACTCAATGGTTGTTTGGCCGACATCTGCATGTGTGTTGTGTACCTGGAATGTACCAGTCTTTTAGTTCCGACTTCCATGCTGCATTGCCTTCGAGCTCTGACTCAGCGCTTTTGAACACGAGGTGAGTACCTAGTCGTGAGATTTGGGTTTGCAGTGCTAATCGCGGTTCGCAATGCCGTAACAGACACAGATGAATACAGCACTTTGAGCGCTTTGTCCTTCACTGCCTTCACTATCACACCAGCATTCGCACATACCTCGAGGCATGTCCCTCCGCCGACCAACTTTGCGCCCAGTCGTGTGGTCAGACGTCGACTCCCATGGCCGTTATCTACGTCGGGACCGATCTTCAGAGGAAGATTCTGGGGATGACGCTATGATGACTTCCAGCGTCTATCCACAGCAAGACCCTCCTCCTCAATCAACTCCTCAAAACGATGTCCACATGCAACCGCAGTCACAAATGTACCAGTCCCCGCATCAGAGTACCGCGCCACCGCCGAGAAAGAGGAAAAAAGTCTTCAACATCCCTGCTGTGTACTACCCACCTGCTCTGAGCCCGTCTGAGAAAGTCTGGCGGGATCGGTATGAGTTTATTAAAGAGCACGGATACCAGCTTCGTCCAAGATATCGGCCGAATTGGACACCGACGTTGTTGGGAAATGGGAGGCATCATCACAGTGGAGAAGATCACATCATGCAGATTGTATGTCCTTTTCATTCTCCCTTCGTACAACTTGACGTGAATGTCCTGCCTTACTCAGATGCCACAAGTTCTAGACGCCGTTCGCTTATCAGACGGCCTCGTAGTATGCATCAAGATCATGCACGAGAAGCAAAAGTTCAAACAGGTCAAGGTTTTAGAGTACTTCTCCTCTCCGCGGATGAGCACGAATTCGAGAAATCACGCAGTTCCTTTCATCCATTCGTTCGGCGACAGACACGACTCAGGAGTCCATTTCTTGATCATGCCTCCGCTACGAAGGTTTGACGATCCGGACTTTGTGTGGGCTTCCGAGGTGGCAGATTTCGTGTCGCAGACTATTGAGGTATTTCCAAACTTATCGTTTCCTTCTATGCGACGAGACTGACGATTGTGCGACAGGGCCTGACATTCTTGCACACCCAACGTATAGCCCACTAGTACGTCTTCTGCTGTTCTTACTCAATTAATCCTCACCTTTGACTCCATCTACCCATTCAGCAACCTGACAGCCGACACCATAATGATGGATGCCAAAACAATCATCCCAACTGGCTGGCACTTCGTCGCACACTTTTGTGAACCGGACGGAATGACCCGTATATCGCCCCTTGAGCGCAAACGTTGGCCTGTGCGGTACTACTTTGTCGGATTCGGGGACTGTTTCCACGTACCACGGACTACGAAACCGTTGATACAGGCTATTGGTGGTAGCGACCAGGATGTGCCAGAGTTGTTCACGGGGAAGCCGTATGACCCTTTCAAGCTGGACATCTATACGCTCGCGAATGTGTTCCAGAAGCAGCTATTCATGGTACTTGTCCCCCCTCTTGTACTATTGTGACAACGGCTGATGATGTTATAAGAGATTCCACGGCCTTGACTTCCTGTCGGACTTGATATCGTACATGCGGACACCGGCGTTCGAAGAGCGTCCCACCGCCGAACAGGCCATGAACAAATGGTACACTATAAGGGACAGCTTCAAGGAGGAGGTGTTGGAGGGGCGGAGACTCCAATACCGCGAAGGGATGAAGCCGAGGTACTCGCCAGAAGTAGACTCGGAAGGGATGAAGCGGAGGTACTCGTCAGAAGTGGACTCCGAAGATAATACGGAGCCTGTGAAGAAGAAGGATAAAGGCAAGGGCAAGGATAGAGCGCGGCCGATAGAGGACGGCGCGTTGGAGGGGGGACAAGACAAGAGGAGGTCGGATAAGAGGGATATTTCCTCGATTCTGAATTCGTGAGGTATGATTCAGATATTTGGTACCAGGCCAAGTTATCCTACCCCATTGTAAGCCCCTCTGGGTTTCCGACGAATCCTTGGTTTCATTTGACTCGAGTCTGGCAATGGTCATTCGTGATACTTTTTTTCTGGCACCCATCCATCCCATACATTTGTATCTCTAACAGTACTCGTAAACTGTATACACAACCATGAGCCCGCGAGATGATGAAAATTTATTTGACCAGACATCAGGCAATAGTCAGTTGAATTGATTAATTTCAAGGAGCTTTACTCTGTGTAGTGAGTGGTCCAGACTGACAGCTGGCCTCCACAATTGATTCATTTACAAATATACATGGGCAACACTTGCAAACAGACACGGACTTGAAGCTGGACCAATCGTCATTTGACGGTGCTCATCATTGATCAGACAATCTAAAACAAAAATTGGTGACAAAATGCCTTTCGAGGATGGCCAACGTGGGGATCGAACCCAAGACCTTCGCGTATACACACATAGGCGTATTAGCACGACGCTCTAACCAGCTGAGCTAGTCGGCCGATACAACAGTGCAGGCGGTGTAGGCTACCATCAGATCAAGGTCATTTGACTTTGTGATGTCATCTTGTTTCGCAACAAGCACATATACATAGGGGTATTACTCGGTGTAGCTATCCAGTATCTCGAGCTCTACATACATCCTGGCCCCCATTCAAGCTATCATTAGCAATAATTAGAAGAGGATTGTACTGCGGATAGGATGCATTCGGAAAATCAAGCTAGCAACACTGATACCGGACGCAGTTATCACAAACAATGCACCGGCGAAGCTCTGACGACGGTGAAGGCGCATGAGCAGGAGGAGGATATAACGCTCTTTGGGAGTTGTTTCTGTCCGTTCGTGCAGAGAGCCTGGGTGGGGTTTGAGATTCTTGGGATTAAATACAAGGTGAGCGGTTGATCTCTTATTTGATCTTCTGGAACCAGCTCGCGAGTGTGATTGAACTGACAATTGTGGTTAATATTTGAAGTACTGTGCGTATCTTACCGCTTCCATTGTTTAGAATATAAATTAATGGGTTGGTAAAGACGAAATTGATCCTTACACCAAACCAAAACCGAAAGAGTTATTAGAGGTCTCTCCAAAAGGGCTTGTCCCTGCGTTGAGGTTCAATCGATACACTCCACCTCGAGCTCTAAATGAGAGCACAGTCATTCTTGAGTTTCTGGAAGAGTTCGTCCACTCGAATTGTCATTTCGAAGTTTCATGCTGACCAAATACCGGTGTAGCTTAGCTGCGACGACTACGAAGAAGAGTATCTTACCACCCATCACACACCCATGTAAGAATCTCCCTCGTACTCTCATCTCGACTATAGACTGACATTACATGTTCGAACAAGATGCTCGAGCCCTCGTCCGCCTGCAAGCCGATTTCATAAATCGAGACCTCATACCAGCCTTCTACCGCTTCCTCCAAGCCCAAACCCCCGAGAAACAAATTGAGGGCGGGCAAGCATTCCACGCTGCTATTTCAGGTCTCGTAGGCCTTATGGAAAGGGCTGAACGGGAGATATTAGGTGGTGGAGGGGTACAAGGGGAGGGCGAGTTGAGGGAACTGAAGAAGGGGTTGGGCGTATGGGTTGAAGGTGCGGATGATCTGGGGTGGGGTGATGTTATGGCTGGGCCTTGTGAGTGCGCTAATATTTCGTTTTTTGAAAGAACTGACTTGACATTCGTTTTGTATATTAGGGCTTTACAGGGCGAAAATCGTTCTTAGTCATTATCGCGGCTTTGAACTGCCCAAAGGCGAGAAATTCAATGGATGGCTGACAAGGCTTTTCGAGCATCCCAGATTTAAGGCAACGTGCAGCACTGATCAGCTGTATTTGGATAGTTATGAGAGGTACTTACAACCACCAGGCCCTTTCCCGTGGAATATCCCATGCTGATTCCATTGTTTACACAGATACGCGTTCAACCGGCCGAATACCAGTCAGGTCGCGACAGCAATTAACGAGGGTAAAGCCCTGCCTTAAAGGACCTGTAGGCATTGTTGTACATATGATACATGTCGTTAGAATTGTGATAAGAATATATCTTGTGTCTGTGATCCACGTGCAATGCCGGAGTTGGGCGAGTCGGAGTGGGCTGATTGTGTGATGACTTTCTGAACTCTCTTTCCTGTTGTTTCCCTCATCCAGCCAGCGAAAGCCTGAGCGCTTGAGCTTATTTGCCGCTAAATAGGCGCAGAACGATACGATACACACACGACCCGCCTATTGAAATTTACGACCCAGAACAGCAGCAGGAAGGCGGTTGGACGACTTCTATATCTACCGACCTGACTAAACCCTCACGTCTACTTTCGAATCTTCGGAAGCCTGATCTTGGCTTCCCTCGCACGCAATCCACCTTTTCTCTCATCACCACTAGGCCTGCGCTTGCTTCTCATCTCTAGGCCTACGCTTCTCTTATTCACTTACTATCACTTCTACAAAACCGACCGACTGACAGCTGCTTACGTGGGCCCGACAAGCCCCAGACATTGCACTCACACTCTTTGGATCAGACTGAATGCCGGACTACGTCTATGCTTTGCATGACTTTCTGCCGGAGCATGAGGACGAGGTGACTTTCCATGCTGGTGAGAGGATTGAGGTTGTTGAGAAGGATGATATGTATGGGGACGGCTGGTGGCAGGTATGTCAGATTCAAATATCTTATTGTCTTCTGCGTCGAGCTCGAGACTCCATCATCTTGAAGAGGAGGACATGGTACCTCATGATCGACGTCCACGGGTTGTGGAGAAATAGTGGGGATGAGTGAAGGAGGCCTTCATTCCCCACACCCCCTATTGGACTTCATTCCGTCATCCGCCCTGCCTTCTATCTGTTAAAATACATATACTAATCATTGGACTATCTACAGGGACGTAACCTCGCAGGAAAAGTTGGTCTCTTTCCAGTCAGCTACACCGCTCCAGCACCTCCATCTGCAGAGGCGCTCGCGCACACCACATCCACATCCTCTACCGCTACCGCCACTGCCAACTCCGACTCTTCTCCTTCAGCAGCCAGTAAATCTAAAGCTGGCTTGCAACCCCTCTCTGAAGAATCCGAATCCGAATCACCACCCTCGGGACCTAACATCGTTTCCCCCGTCCCTAAAACCCCAGCGACCTTCCTCAATGGCGGGGCCGACGACTATGAAGATGGATCCATTGCTGACGATGCCTCCCTACGTTATGGCGCGACGGGTGACAACGAGGTGATGAAAGCCACAATGACAGACGTACAAAAAGCCATTGAGCAGCTCGGGCGGAGGGGTGGGAACGGAGGCGAAGACGGTGACGGTGCCCGGAGTTTCAGCTTTGCGAGTACTCAGGATGGAGGCGACACCGAGACGGATGATACTGATTTCGACTTGAGCGACCTTGACGGCCATGCTGACTCGTCCGCTCATACCAATGGAGGCGAGGATTGGCATAAGAGCGCCCGGAGGCGATTGGCGGCGAAGGCAAGGAGGGCAGTAGCCGAGGCGGAGAAGCTGGAGGCGATGATGGGTGGTGAGAATGGTGGGAGAAATGTCGCTCCTCCAATAGAGGTTGAAATGAGCGACGAGAGTGATGTGGAGGAAGACGGTGATTTTACGAGGTCGAGCAAGTTCCAGAGGACCCATCCATACATTTTGGAGGAGGATGAGGACGCTGAGACGGATGCGGAAGCGAATGGGCATGTTAAAGAGGTGTCGAAAGATGCTTCAGCCACGGCAACGCAGAGGAGCTCAACAGCTGATGGACATGTTCTCATCCCGCCAGTGGATAGCGAGGAGGTGCAAACTGCTACGAAGCTGTCGTTCCCCGTTTTCTCTCCGCCGCCAGCTGTGGAACCACAATCTAACATTTCCCAAGAAGATAGGGCAGGATTGCCACAGACATCGAGCTCGCCGAAGAGGAGCTCTTACCCGCCTGCCTCTTCGTTGTCTCCTCCTCCCATGGCCCAAACATATACCCAGCAACCCGAAAGTTTGGTCGTCAGTACCGCCGTCACACCCATCCCATCACCCATCCGAACACCCCCTGCGATGGTGGAGCAGAAACGGAACAGTGCTCCAGGACGTGAGTTGACGCCGAGCACTGGTATGAGTGGGCTGCCGAGTCCTTCGGCGTCGACATACTTGAACAACAATGCAAACTCAAAGCATAACAGCATCATGTCCTCCTCCTCGGCGCCTGGCATGATGATGCCGGTTCCGCAAACACAATCACGCCAGCCATCGCAAACGCAACCTCAATCGCAGTCGCAGGTTGGTGGCTTCGTGGGTAATGGAGGCACCCCGTCGTCGACTTTGTATCCTACCCCGACTCCGATGTCGATGCCTATGCCACAGTATACACAACAAGTGCAGCAGTCGCCACAACAGCAAAAGACGCACCCGTCGGAGTGGAATGTGGATGAGGTTGTGGAATGGTTGAAGAGCAAAGGGTTTGATCAGGATGTTTGTGATAAGTTTATCGGTAAGCCTTTCTTTCATCCCGAATGCTCGGCTCCAACTCACATTCCGTACGTTTGTGCAAACAGAACAAGAAATAACAGGCGATGTTCTCCTTGAACTCGACGTTAACCTGCTCAAATCCGAAATTGGCATCATGGCGTTTGGGAAACGCATGCGCATAGCCAACTTCATAACCGACCTCCGCCGCCCGCCTTCTATCGAGTACTCCGACAACCATTCGGAACACCCGTCGCCGCTAGGATTACATCATTCGCAGTCCTTGACACAATCGCAGTCCCAGTATCCGCTGCAGGGCCAGAGTCAGAGCCAGAGTCAGACCCACTCGAGGGCGCAAAGCCAGAGCCATTCGCATCATTCGTTCCCTGGAACCGGTGCGAACGCGGTCGCGTTGGGGCATGCGTATAGTCAAAGTGTGCAGAGTTCTCTTGGGAGTCCGTTGGGGTATGGGGGCGGTGGATTTGGATATAGTAATGGGAATGGGAATGGGTTTGGGCCTGTGCAGGAGGCTCCGTATGCGAATGGGAGTGAAGGCAATAACGGTGTGAATGAGGCTTCCCCGGTGGTGGATGGTAACAAGCGGATTTCGGCTGGGATTGGACAAGGAGCTTTGGCGGCTGCTGCTGGTGTTGGACTGGGCATCGGATTGACGCCTTCCACTACGCCCGGAGTAAGTCACTCTCTTGATATTATCTCGCGATATGGTGCTGATCATGGTGATCATGTTGTTAGAAAGGTCGTCCGGCACAGTTACTGGCCATGTCTCCTAGCGACGGAGCGTTGAAAGATTCGGCTGCAAAATCTGTGCTGGCTGTTCAAGGTGGCGATGAGACCGAGGATCGTGGGCATATGAGTGATGTACGTCTTCCAGCCACTTTCGCCGTTATGATGCAATGCTGACTATGGTATGTTGTTTAGGGTGAGATCGCGCCCACCACCACAAGCATGCGGCGACGTCTATTCGGGCGCTCGCACGACTCATCCGTATCAGCTGCAGCTGCAGCTTCGCGTCATTCTAAAGACTCACCATTGCCTTCGCCGATTG